GGGGTCCCCGCCCACGGCCACGGCCACGGCCACGCGCGCCCACGTCTCGCACAGCGCTGAGGCTGCCGCCGCCGCTGCCCGGTCGCCGCCGCTGCCGGCTTTGCACGCAGGTCATTAACGAGGGGGCGTGCCCGAGGAGATTTTTCCCATAAAGCATTTTTTCTACCCCCCTTTTTTTCTCTCCTCTCTCTTCCTCTCTCTGTCTCTCAGGCAAAACTGACTTTTACCCCTTTCCACTTCTCGCCAGTCGTTTCAGTCTCTCCAGGGCAGCTCGCGCCGGGCACTCAAGTTTATTTATTTTCCCGCCCGGGTAGGGGTTTTAGGATTCGGTGGGTGGTTTTCACCTCTTGTTGCTGCTGTTCCTAAGGAAGGAAAGAGAAGCAGCTGCCTCCAGGAGGATCGGGAAGGTTTTCTGATGTAGTCATCGGGGAGGTGCCACGGCTCGTGCGCGCGCGCTCTTTGGCCCCCTTTTCAAACTGATTGATGCATCTCTACAAGTTGCCGGGCGCGGGGCCGGCCCCGTCGGAGTCACAGGGCCACTTCTGAGAGCTCACCGGGGCTCTTCGCACCGCGCGCGCGGCTCAGTCTCGCTCCCGGAAGGCGATCGCAGGCTGACGTCGGGCCATCCCGGAGTTGGAGGGATCCTTCGCAAAGTGGTCGTTTCCCTCCTGCTCGCCGCCGAACCGTGGGGTTGGCGTCGCCCTGCAGGTCTGGGCATCCCAGCTCCGCCTGGTTGCTCGTAACCTCTGCTCGCCTTTCCCTCCGGTGCACCCACACCCAGCCAAGAAATCACGCCCGAGAGATTGCTGAGACTCGGCCCGCTCTCGGGGTGCAGGCTGCGCCGCCGCTGCCGTCCGGACTCCATCGGGGACCTGCCGGAAGACGCGAAGACCCAAACTTTTCTTTGAGGCTTTCGAGGCAAGACCGCTGCCCGCCAACGCAGCGGCCGCTTCACCGGTTCCAGGACGCCGGCGTGGCTGGCTTTGCGGCTCCGGATCCCCGCCCTGCTCGGCGCATCGCCCGGTACCGCAGTCAATACCTACGACTCTTCCGAGATTTCCAGGGGTTGCCCGGGGAAGGCGCAGCGGCGGCTGGGAAGCGCTCCGACTCCCGGGGCTCCGACGTGCGGTCCCCGGTCTGCAGGACACTCTCCTCCTGCAGTTTCCCACCGGCCGTCAAAGTAACTTGGAGCGAAGCGGGGCGCAGTGCGAGGGCCCCGGGCGACTGCGGAGCCGTGCGCAGCCCGCGGCGCCGACGCTGAGCCGGGCCCGGCGGGCCGGTGTATGTCTCCCCGCGGCTGTGGCGCGCAACTCCCGGTGACTGTGCAGCGCGCGCC